GCAGTGTTCAAGGCCAGGTTGGACACAGGTTAAACCACAACTGAAAAGCCCCGTCCTGACAACCAACTTTTTTCCCCCCAAATCCTTTCTGTCTATTCCGTACCCTTAGTAAGAAATGAAGTTAATTTATGTGCAGCTTTCCAAGTCCTATGTTGGGTGATTAGGCGGATGTGTTTTGAAGTCCGCCTTCTTCCCCAAATGTCAAGCTCTATTTTGTGAATGAACATGTTGCAATGTGATGTGTGCCCTGGGAAAAGGAAAGGGAAAAAAATCCGGAACACTCAAATATGAGCAGCTCATGATTTTTGTTTCTCTTTACTTATACATTTCTTTCACCCACACTTTTTGCACTGTTAAAATCAGCGCGGTGAATTGGGTTTATTTTCAGATACTGATGAAGTCATAGAATAGCTGGGGTTGGAAAGGACCTTAAGATCATCCAGCTCCAACCCCTGCCCCGGGCAGGGACACCTTCCAGTAGAGCGGTTTCCCCAAAGCCCCTGTGTCCAACCTGGCCTTGAACACTGTGAGGGATGGGGCAGCCACAGCTTCTCTGGGCACCCTGTGCCAGTGCCTCAGCACCCTCACAGGGAAGAGCTTCTGCCTTAGATCTAACCTGAACTTCCCCTGTTTCAGTTTCAACCCATCACCCCTTGTCCTGTCACTAGAGTCCCTGATGAAGGTCCCTCTCCAGCATCCTTGTAGCCCCCTTCAGACACTGAAGCTGCTCTGAGGTCTCCACGCAGCTTCTCTTCTCCAGGCTGAACACCCCAATGTTCTCAGCCTGTCTCCATATGGGAGCTGCTCCAGCCCCTGATCATCCTCGTGGCCTCCTCTGGACTTACTCCAACAGCTCCGTGTCCTTCTTATGCTGAGGACACCAGCACTGCTGTGAGTGGGGTCTCAGCAGAGCAGAGGCAGGATCCCCTCCTTCAACCTGTAGTTATCTAGATCTAGTAGATACGTTAAATATGACTTTGTTCTTCAGCTCCTAGCTAAAGAACAGGGTGGGAAGCATGTGCAGCCAGCTCTGTAAAAGCTCACTTTTGCAGATCAGCCCTTTAAGTCTCTTAGTTGTTGTTCATATTGAAACCTTGAATTTCAGGAAAACTCCATTTCTAATGCAACCAGCTGTAGCAAGGTGATTCTGGAGTTTAACTTTTGCCAAAGGTGCAAAGATGGGTTGTCCCCTGGCTCTCAGTCAAATCAGATGGAATTTGAGCATCTAATCCACTTAGATCCAAACCTTGGTGCTTTAAAAGCAAGGAAGTCTTGCCCTACTTTAAGAGATCCATCATTCCTTCTCTTCTTTCCTTCCTTCTCCCCTGGTGTTTCAGTTGCCTTGTCAATCGTCTGCAAGACTTGGAACATACAATAACATTTCCTACTAGAGGATGTACTTTTGACTCAGATATGTGCCTCTAAGTTTCATTTTAATTACAAGTAACTGTAAGAATGCAGATTTTGAGAACTGTGCTGCTTTGAAAAGACACTTTTACAGTGTTATGATTTCTTTTCCTTGAGTTTCAAAGAAGAAAGTGGCTTAAAATAAGAGAAGTGGGATATCACACTGCTTTTATATAGCGCCACACGATCCCGAGCAATGATATGAAGAATGCTTAGTGTAGTTCACCTGTAAAATATCCTTTTCATGGCATTTATTCCTGTTAAGACTCCAAGGCCCTTATTTTGCCTTCTGTCTCGTGCAGTTCTCTCCATTTTATGCTAGGTGAATGGAGGAGGGAAAACACAATAAAATGCTCTCAAGGGAGGAGTGTTGCCTATTAACTGGCACTAATAGAGGTGCAGTGCATAAAAGGTGAGAACTTTAGTCCTATAAGTAGTCCTTCATCTCACATAAAAGATGAAGCCTACAACTCTGGGCACGCAAGCACGGAGAGGAAAGGCAGGCAGCTCAGCTGCTGAGCATGTGTGCATGAGTTCGACTGCTAATACCTGCTTGAAGGTGTCTGTGGTGTGTCGCAGATTGTGTCTTTGGAGGTGGATACTAAGCTTAATCACTAGGCTTGAGCTATTCTTTGAAAGGCAGGAAATGAAAGTCTTGGGTGTTTTTCAAAGCAGGCGGTGCTGAAGTCCATCAGGCTTCTTTTTCGCCAGGGAAATCCATCTGTTTGATGAGTGACTGCTTTGGAGACTGATCCTCACACAATTCCAGAGGAATTCGGATTTGAATTGTTGTGATCATTTTGTGAGAGGGCTGGAAAAACCAAACCTCATTCAATGGCCTTAATGGAGCCAACCGTGATCACTCTAGACATGAATGTGTCTCCTAAGAGATCAGTTGTTGTCCAGCACACAAAGGAATTGTTCATCACTTTCATATTCAGGATATTATATAGAAAACATTAATGCTTTCTCTGGACAGAGTTAGGGGCAGACAGCTGGGAATTCTGGGCTTTATGTATCATTTATTTCCCTGTCTCTTTCTGTGTCTAGTACCTGCGGCTTCAAAGGTATAGAGAAAGAGCAACATAATACACTTCTCAAACAAGATGTGCATTACTCCACATGAAAGCGAAAACAAGTGCCCTTCCTGACTTCTTCAAGCAATCAGTTTTATGTCCTGAAGCATGACATCTAATTTTCCTTCCTACTAGCATATAGAAGAAAGCTAGTCCTTGAACTTGCCCTCGCTAGCACAAGTAACCCCCTTGACTTTAATGAATACTTCTGCGTGCGCTGTTCTACACACTCGAATAAGACTTCTCAGGTTAGGCCATTAATTTGCATAGCTCCAATTATCCAGTCTCTGATCTCCTGTAAAAATGGTTCCACAAATTATTCCGATGTTCTGCATTAAAGTATTTCTCATTTCTGATGAAGGCATTTATTCTCTCCTGTGCAGAGCAATGTAATTATCTGAACCTCAAATCATATGTTTGTTCTGCCAAGAAAAGCGCGTTGGTTATGCTTTAGTGCTGACCTTTAGAAATGATTGTTCTCATGTCTTCAAGTATTGCTTCCAGCACCACTTAATTTAACTTGTAATGGCCAGTGTAGGTTTGTATTTTAAGCTTAAATCACTAAGCTTTGCTTTCTGTGTGTGTCTTCAGCTGAGTGTCCCCAGCCACAGGAAGGAACTTGGAACAGTTCCCTCCTTTACAGTGGTTTAGTCTGTTAAAAAGTGGTAAGTGACATGGGATTACAGCACAGAACTTCATTGAGACACTGCTGTTATCATTGAATCATTGGGAAAGAGAAACTTTATAGATCAACCAAATTCTATAAACCACACTTGCAGCCTCAGTTAGCAAATAGAGGCAAGCAGGTGTCCTGAAAACCTTTTCTTTACCCTCTTCATCTACCTGTGTTGAATAACTCAATTCCCAAAGCCCATTTTGGAAGTATGGATGTGTTTTAAGCAGGTGTAGCTTCCCAGTGCCTGCACATGACGAGGTGCTGGTTTGTGTGGTGAAGGATCTTGTCCCCAGCTCCCTGTGTTTGGTCTCTCCGGTGCAGCTCTTGTAGCTGGCACCAAGCAGGATGAACTGATAAATATCACTGCCTGCTTCTGAGCTGACACCAAGCTTCCTCCAAAAAACCTGGTGTCCTCAATGTAAAAAGGACATGGAGCTGTTGGACCAAGTTCAGAGGAGGCCATGAGGATGATAAGAGGACTGGAGCAGCTCCCGTATGGAGACAGGCTGAGAACATTGGGGTGTTCAGCCTGGAGAAGAGAAGCTGCGTGGAGACCTCAGAGCAGCTTCCAGTGTCTGAAGGGGGCCTATAAGGATACTGGAGAGGGACTCTTTGTTAGGGACTGTAGTGGTAGGACAAGGGGTGATGGGTTTAAACTTAAACAGGGGAAGTTCAGGTTAGATCTAAGGAAGAAGTTCTTCACAGTGAGGGTGGAGAGGCACTGGAATGGGTCGCCCAAGAAAGTTGTGAATGCTCCATCCCTGGCAGTGTTCTAGGCCAGGCTGGACAGAGCCTTGGCTGACATAGTTTAGTGTGAGGTGTCCCTGCTCATGGCAGGGGGTTGGAACTAGATGATCTTAAGGTCCTTTCCAACCCAAACTGTTCTATGATTCTATGAAGTTAACATGAAATGAGGTTACTGCAGACCTTGCACTAGCTTAACTTAGACTGCAGAGTTCTCGTGGACAGCCAGCCTTCCCCTTGGGCTATAGCTTCTCCTGAGGTGACAATTACAGTGCCTGCCTTTGCCCAGCAGCTCCTAATGAAGTTTAATGCCCTGAAACAAACGTGGGAGACTTCTACAGAGCTTTGCAGCATGATCTTATTTAACTGAACCTTGGCTAACCCAAAGGCAGTCAATTAGCCAGAGCTCTGTTCTCTTCCTAGAACTGAATGTGGTTTGGGTTTTGCTGGCTTTGGGTGTTTTTCCCTTTTCACTCTCACCTACAGCAAAGTGAGGAGCTGTCAGATGCCTCCCCTAAGGCTGAATACCTGAAAGTGTCAATGCCAGGGTTTGCCTCAGTGGAGAAAGCCAAATTTTTCAGTGGCAGAACATGCCTATACTCAGTCCAGAGGCGTGATTGCAGCTGGAGCCAAGCTTGGGTACATGCAGCAGCACGGTGCTCAGCTCCAGGCTGCGTATCCATGTGTGTTCTCCAAGGCTGGTTGCTTACAAGCCTCTTTGAACTCTCTGCATTTGGAATTGTGCTGTTGCAGTCCAGCTCTGGTGAGTTCACACTGCCTGCCACAGCATAGGTGGTGTGCTCAGCTGGGATTTCAAAAGGCAATACTGGTTGCTGTTGTAGAACCTTGAACACTGGGATCTGGGAATATTTCCTGCTTTCACTGCTAATTCAAAGGCTTTGGATTCTTACTGAGACCTTTGGGTGCTGAGGCGCTGGCACAGGGTGCCCAGAGAAGCTGTGGCTGCCCCATCCCTGGCAGTGTTCAAGGCCAGGTTGGACACAG